GGCACTGCAGCAGTGGTGTTTGTGGGTGTTGAGCTGCTGCGCTTACAAAAGGACATATACTCTAACCCACAGTTGGAGTCATGCCAGAATCCTGCTAGCCATTTGAGTATAGTAAATTAATCATATAATCAACTCAAATGATAGATTTAAAAAAATCAAATCTATCTTTAATCAGTTTTGATATCACACAAGCCAGCTATCCGTTCTTGTAGTTTATGTATAAGCAGAATCATGATCAGAATACATGGTTGTAGAGGTGCTCTAAAAACACTCTATGGGCTCTTCTTGTTATGGCTATACCTATTATTTCGGTACACTCACCATTATGATGTGTCATGACAGCACAGTTTTCGTCAAAGTTCTTGAATTCAGGTTGATTTTCATCCCACCTTTGAAACACCACTTGAGAACCATCCATCCACCTTAATGTAAAAAGACACATGGTTTAAATATGTCTGTAAAAACTTATATTACCAACACAGTCACATGCTGGTTTAAGTAAAAATACTCTTTGCCTTCTTCATTTTAGTCACAGTTTTTTGGTTTTAGTTAGTAAGTTAGTAAGAAAGATAGCAAACTGGAATAGTAACTGATACATTTTACAAATATTAATTAAAAGTAAGTTAAAGATCACAAACAGAAATGTAAATTAACCACAATTTACAGTTAATATGTATTTAGGTAGTTAATAGGTAATTTTGTCTCTGTATACTAGCCATCAGATTTTATATCAAACAATCAAGATATGATTAAATGAAATTAAAACTGGTATACTCGTACATCTGGCATGCTGCCTTGCACTAAGTACTCTCTATTTTTAACGTGGTGTCACATAAATTTAAGTTTATTTTGTTGCATTTAAATTTTTTAACCAAATTCATACTCACTGAAATGTTCCATCAAGATCTACAGATAGGCCAATCCAAGAATTCTGATAACCTGTTGAAATCTGCACAAAAGCATGGATGCATAGTAAAACTGTCTGTGTGGATGTTTCGGTTTGTTCAGTTACACCTTAATTACCCATT